GTTGTTTAGCTCTTTTGGGAGTTCAGATAAATTAAAATGCAACTATAATTTATGGTTAATATAAAGACCTACTTTTGATTTTTTTTGTTTTCTTTGCAGATTATCGTATTATTTTTCACATTATTATTCTTTTGAGAGATGTTTTGGAGACTTTTGATTTTGCACTTATTCATTGCAGAGTATAGATTTTTTTTTCTGGAAAAAGGGATCGAACTGTGTTTCGTGGTTAACAGGTTAAGACTTCTTCTTGTTTCATTAATCTGTGAATCTCATTTACTGAAGCAATACAGTCATAACAGGATACTACTAGTGTGATTGTTTCTGAATTCCAGAAACTATAGATGTTAAGTATTTTTTCAAAAAAAAAAAATTTTAACATAATTAATAGCTGCGGTTCTTTGTTAAATTTTGACACAAAAAAGAAAGCAACCACATCAGACTTTTTTCTATGCTATATTTGTTCACTGAAATATGAAAGTTATTGCTTCTGAAGGTTGAAATTTTTGTTTGCAAAGGTCTAAGCTTAGATGAAGTTCTGTGTTATATCTCACCGTAATGCATCACAGAAACTTTTTGCCGAATCAAAATTTTATAAAAGTATAAGATAAACAATCGTTTTCTTCCTTTTTTTTTTTTTTTTTAAAGCTTATACACAGTAGATAAACTCTAAATTAATCAATTTTAATTTGCTAAGAAATTAAACAGATTTTTTTTTGCAATAATGACTCACAAACCTCTTCTGTTATCAAAAAAAGGGTTTGACAGACAATTCAATACTTTTATAAATTACTCTTAAAGACATCAGTTTTGCATGTTTCAGAAATATTGCAATTTATACGGTAAAGCGTCTGTTTTTTTATGGTGGCATATTTATTGGTTTAATTGCCACCGCATAATGGTGTTTCATAAACGTAGGATTATTTAAGATAACAGAAATAATAAACTCGTTTGACAGCTATATATTTTTTAGCAAACAAAATAACTGATTTTCCTCAAAAGGACAAGGTTAATCCTACATGCCATTAAGCTTCACTGATTCTGTGTACGACAAGGTTAACCTACTGTTAATTCTGCTGTTTATTCAAAGTATGACAGTTAAAGTTCCTTAATAAATTGTCAGCTAAAAGGTTTTATGACTGCACATTTGAACAGCATACCAAATAAAAACTATTTTTTTTTAAATTTAAAGCTTTCTTTCTAAAACCACAAATTTTAATTAAATATATATATAACGATTTAATTAATCATAATTTTGTATATATATATATATATATATATATATATA